CGGCTTGCTCGTCGTTCATCTGATCCTACTCTGCCTGGAGTGGTACCCGGAGCCTTTCGCGCTCAGCCGGACGCGCGACTACGTGTTCCTGCTGTTCACCGTGTTCTACATCGCGCACATCATCATTCGGATCATCGGTCTCTCGTGGACACGCTTCCGGAAAAGCGCTTGGGACGTCTACTCGGTTTTCGCCGTGAGCGGCACCTTCGTGACGACCATCCTCATGGTCTCAAATTTCCAGAATCGCGACTACGTCCAGCTGCATAAGCTGTTCCTGGTCGCCGTTGCGCTGATGTTGATACCGAGGAATAACCAGCTCGACCAGCTGTTCAAGACCGCCGCGGCGAGTTTCACCGCCATTGCGAACTTGCTGGCCACTTGGTTTGTGCTGTTCCTGGTGTACGCTATCGCGCTCTCGCAGTCCTTCGGCCTGACCAGATTCGGCGCCAACGAGACTGGCAACATCAATGTCCGCACCGTGCCAAAAGCCTTGATCTTACTCTTCCGCATATCAGTGGGAGAGGGGTGGAACCAGATCATGAACGATTTCGCCTCCGTGGAGTGGCCCTACTGCACTCTGGGCGAACGCTACTTCGAGAGCGACTGCGGCAGCGAGCAGTGGGCCTGGGCGCTCTTCATCTCGTGGAACATCCTGAGCATGTACATCTTCGTCAACCTCTTCATCTCGCTGATCTATGAGAGCTTCTCTTACGTGTACCAGAGAAGTAGCGGGCTGTCCGTCATCAGCCGGGAGGAGATCCGCCGCTTCAAGCAGGCTTGGGCGGAATTCGACCCGGACGGAACAGGATACATATCGAAGGAGGCGTTTCCGCGTTTTCCTTGGCGAGCTATCAGGCGTCTTCGAGATGCGCATCTACGACGGAGATTTTGCGGTCAGGGCGCTCATCGAGGACTGCAGGCTGGCGCCCTCACGGACTTCTGCATTGCCGGTGGACGGCCCATCCGGCGGATTCGAGATCGACCTCGACAGACTGAATCGTCGGCTGGCGGAGCTGCCGGTCAAGCAGATCCGAGCACGGCGCGCGCGCATGAACACTTTCTACGAGGAAGTCCTCGTGTCGGCGGATCCGGACCGGGGGATCTCGTTCAACGCGCTCCTGATGATCCTAGCACACTACAAGGTCATCAACGACAACAAGAGCCTGAAGCTTGAGGAGTATCTGCGCCGCCGAGCACGACTGCAGCGTGTGGAGGAAGCCGTGAACCGCAACGTCGTTGTGGGCTTCTTCGACACCATCTACTGGGCCCGCCATCTGAGGCGGGCGATGGACAAGAAGAGGAGTGCGCGGATGACGGCTGTGCCGAGCTTCGGCGTGCCGGAGATCTTTGTGCAGGGCGAGGACGATGACGATGTGACGCAAGCGCCCAAGTTCGACATCCCGTCCGTGAGCGTCACGCCGGTCGATTATAATCCATCGGATACCGCGGACAGTCTGGCTCTGGGGCGCGCGCCGACTAGTGGTTCGGATGCGGGCAGCAGCAGACATGTTGCGCCGGGCTCCACGATGCGCAATCGCGCTGGATCGATTCAGCACATGCATGATCCCGACCTGGCACCGCCATTCGAAGAGTCGCCTCGGCTCTCTGCTCGTCACCGTCCAACCGCTTCGGCGAGCAGTATCCAAGCGGACTGGCATTTCGCGGCCGCGATGGAAGGGTTGACGCCGGGCCTTACACCCCCCGGCAGCCCCGGCCTGGCTCCCAACAACGCGCCGGCATCCAGAAGCCGGGCGAATAGTGCAGTCAGTCAGAATGAGATGGTGGGGATGTTCTCCTCGAGTCCCTGGGGCGCGAGTATGGAGCGGACCATGACGACGAGACGGACGAGCCAGAACCCTCCGCGACGGCCCTCGTCATGAGGAATGAAGTGGCACGACAGGCGTGATCTCGTTGTGATGGGTCGGCTGGCCTTCTGGGCCTTCGGTGTTGAACGGAGGTCGGATGAGTGTCTGAGAGGCCGGGGAGGGTTGTGTACCTACTAGCATAGCGGCGGCGTTGTGACGATGATACCATTTATTGTATTGATGACTGCAGGCCTCGAGCTTCATCCACTAGATGCGCCGACTCCTCATCTCGTCCTGATGGGACCTTGTCATCCGAAGAGACTGTGACAGGCTCTCCACTGCCAAGCCATTGTTGCTGGCCAGCGAGCCATCGCCCGATCGTCCACCTCCTGTAACACGGTGCAATGCTCCGGATGACATTGATGTCCGCTCAGGCCACACTCTGCGAAGATACAACTTGTCCGCCAGCCAATAGCAGCCCGAGCGTAAGGATGGCGCACGAGAGCGCGTTTGGGATACACGCGACCCTTTCCCCGTGTTCTACTCCACCCCTCCTGCAGATCATCATACTGCACCGAAACACCCGCGATCGTCTTTCTATGGAGTGCGGAGGAGATGAGGAGGGGGCACGCCAGGGGCGGAATCATCAATCATCCGCGATACGGACGCCGGTGACACTGCTGGGGTCGCTGGCTTGCTTGACGGAGCACGACATGATAAGACTCGCACCACCGTCGTCACCGTAAGTCCTGTGTCTACCCGTTCGTCTCGACCATCTCGTTTGGCTTGAAGGACGCGGTGTGTTTGCTGCTGTGATCTCTTACGGCCTTCGATCACGTCCACCGCCCTTCTTTACACCTGCAAGCTGGTCAGAGGCTGGTCCTCATTGGAATCGGGCACCTTGCAGCAGCCAAGTGCTGGAAGTCTGAGTCGCTGGCGGTCAGCATACGACAACCTTCGGGCCTCTTATATCTCGGTGGAGAGCCGTCTCCTCTCAGAGAGCAGGAAAGCCAGCAACGCTCAAAAAGTCGATCTACATAACGACATCACGGCAGCCGCTTGGAAGAACACACTTTTCTGTTCGCAGCACACAAGACACTCTGCCAGCGATCATGCCTTCCCGCAGCCTACCATCGCTCCATCCACGACAGTCCCTGCGCCGACTGCGAACCGTCTTCGGCCCCTCCTCGCCCTCTTCGGCTTCGCCTTCAACGACTGCGACCTCTCCGTTCTCTCTAACGCGGTCCATGTCATCGACCTCGTCCGGTCTCTTTGGATTCTCCTCAACCAACATGTCGGCCATCTCCGTCAGCGATCGATCGGCATCCGGCCGAGTCATTCGACGGAAGAAGAGTATGGCGGAGCTTGAGCAAGACGAGGAGCGCACGATCGATGGTGCCCTGATCGGGCTCATAGAGCCGCGGCCTTACAGCGGCCCGACGCTAGGTGGCATTGAGGAGGTTCTCGAAGGGAGTCTCTAGGTGAGCCGCACCGTACGACCCTGTGTGGGCGAGAGCAGCATCCAATCGACAATCACCCACATCGATCGGCTTCAATGGTGGTCCCAAGAGTCTACTGCTCTTAATTGTCATTTCAGAGACTCATGGAGAGCACCCAAGACTCGAAAACCGTGGGAGTCAGTAACCGGATCTGTGGGACGTATGCTCCTTCTAGGAGATGGAGTGGTCTAGGGGTGGATGTTCGTTGTTGTATGTGCAAGCGGCAGACATGATACCCACGGGTTCAGAGGGTGGAAGGAAATGGGTATCTGAGAATGTATCATAGATACCGTAGAGCTGGCGCAGGTAGAGAGCCTTCTGACGCGCATGGCGTGTTGGTATGGAGCCTGCATGAAGAACGATGTATAGTCATATGTATGCGCAAAGAGTGCAGTGGATCGACCAATCCATGCTCTGCACTGTCCATTGCCACAAGCTTCCCAGCAGCACCTTACCTTCCTTCACCACTACACTAGGTACTTCGCAGTCATGTCTGCCCATGAGAGCAATCGTGAGCGGTCAATCCTGATCATCAATCCAAATACCACGGCCTCTATGACGGACGCCCTGCGACCCTTGGTCAAGACACTGGAGTTCAACAATGTCGGTCTAGTCATACCCGAGCACTGCAAGCACTGCCCTGGCTAATGCAACGATAGACTCAATTCGACTACTTCACGGCGCCATCTGGCGTCCCCTCAATCAATGACGAAGACGATGCCGCTTCATCTGCTGAAGCCTGTCTACCCTTGCTGAAGGGAAAGCTCAACGACTACGGAGCCTTCCTCGTCTGCTGCTACTCCCAGCACCCACTGGTACACCAGCTACGTGCCGAGCTCGCTAGCAGTAGCATCATCAGCAAGCCAGTGACCGGCATCTTCGAGGCTTCGGTCGCCGTCTGTCTCCAATCCATCAGCCTCGACGAGAAATTCGGCATCGTGTCCACAGGTAGTCAATGGGAGGCGATCCTTGGCGACGCTGTAGCAAGTCTCCTCGGCTCCAAGACGAGCTCACGCTACGCGGGCACGAAGACGACCGGCCTGAACGCGGACGAGCTGCACTCGACACCGAAGCACGAGGTGGACCGGCGGATGAAGGAGGCTACGAAGTTGCTGCTCAGCGACGGTGCGCGGGCCATTTGCTTGGGGTGCGCCGGCATGGCTGGGATGGATCGGACGGTCCGGGAGGCTTGCGTGGAGGCCCTGGGGGAGGAGGCGGGGAGGGGGATCAAGATCGTGGATGGGGTGGTGAGTGGAGTCATCTTCCTCGAAGGAGCCTTGCGAGCGGGCCTATGAGTGATGGATCGATGCAAGAGAGGCCGCGCCCTCCTCGCCATCGGATTACGACGCCCCGGCGCACTGAGGCCCCATGCCCGATTGAGCGGTGGGTGTAAGGGTACGAATGCTGGGGGGAAGAGAGACCGTAGATTCTGGTGGCGGGGACCGACGACGCACCAGATCTACGACCCAGGGAGACGGCCAGCCTTGCTGGCATGTTGGTAGTTCGAGTCAAGACTACAATGGTTGTTTGCCACCACCAGGTCGGGGTTTGTGCCGCGTCTTGCATAGATCCGACCGGCGAAGAAATTTGAGTAGACTATAGATTTACGTTTGAGTCGCAATTAGAATCCATTTCTTGGCGCGGTCGTACGTTCCTGTGCAATGCTCTCCACCTTCCAGAGCTAACATTCCTCAAGGATTAGCTCAGTTGGTTAGAGCGTGGTGCTAATAGAGCTCGTCTCTGTCACGCCAAGGTCGCGAGTTCGACGTACGTCCCATCAATACGATTGTCTTCAGATGATCACGAGGCTAACATACCACCAGCCTCGTATTGACCAAAACAATCATTTTGCAGTTTTGCCGTCCATATATATAGACTGTACACACATGTACACTTTCACCCCTGAATTCCTCTCTGCTCGACCTGAGAAGGCCGGCCACGCTCGGTTGTGCCGGGCGTGTGCATTCGTTCTTGCCGGCTAAAGGCAGTATTGTTGCTATGGCTCTCACAAAAGCACATGTCCTGTACATGTACATGCACGGAATAGTCTGGACGGTGTGAGCGCTGCGATTGACACTCGTTTCCCATTCGCCGCGAGAGACGCAAGACATCCGGAGACACACAGAGGTATATTGTCGTCCGGTGTTGGCAGGACGCGGATGATGTTCTGGTCCTGTCCCGGACAAGGCGGGCCCAATTGGCACCAGGTGGATCACGGCGAATATGCATCTCGTTTGTCCCGTGTCCATGGACTCTGGGGTCGCCCGACAGGTGCACGAGGATGATGATACGGAGGTATTGCTGCATTGTCAATAGTGGAGTGTCGGAACACGAGCCGCTCAGCTTCCTAATTAAGGACCAATGCGGCCCGTGCACTCACCACCTCCGCACTCCACTCCACGCACCTCCTTCATTGAGTACGCGACACCTACATCATTCTTGCCACCTCTCCACACCGGCCCTTTCCTTCACCCACACTCGTTTGCTCCGACTATTACGCGTCTTCCTGCACGAAAGGCATCAGACTTCTCTCCACGGCTCGTTGCTTCGGCCACCCCGCGACTCCTTGCTTCGACACGACGGATCGAGCGTCTGCATCGGCTTGCCGAGAGCATTGGCGTCTGGGCCAAACACGCCGCGTCGTACGGCACGTCAGTGAGAGATCGCTCTTCCAACTTCCGCCCATACAGCATCCTCGCAACAACCCCAACATCAAACACGTCCAGCTACGCGAAAGCGCGTCAGCTCGCGGCCTGTTCGACATCTGCACCACACCAACTCGGCTCGAACGGCTTAGCACGTCATGGATCCTTGGCACGTTTTCCAGAGCTGGGTGCTCATCACCAGCATAGGCGGAGGGGCGTATTACTACTACTCACAGCAGGGTGCCGCAGCTGCCAACCCCGTGGCTGATAGGCGTCGAGCGGAGCAGGAGGCCCGCGACAGAAGACAGGCGGCCGAAGACGAGAAGGCTGCTTTGAAGAGAGCTGCGGACAGCAAGAGTGCAGCCAAGAAGCGGAAGGCACCAAAGCAGGAGCCGGCGCCAGCTCCGATCCCGAAGGTCGTGGTTCAGCAAGATGAGCGCGAGGAGAAGGATGAGCAGAGCAATAGGCAGTTTGCCGAGCAGATGTCGAAGGCGAGGAAAGGGGCAGACTTCTCCGCAGCCAAGAACAAGGAGAACCGTGTAAAGACGGTGAAGCAGGGCAGCGCCATGGACACGCCGGTGCTGTCTTCTGGCTCCTCGCAAGCGGGAGCGGTCGCCGATGATGACATGTCGGCAACAGAGTCGCCGTCTCTGCCTGCTGGCGACGTCTCCGACATGCTGGAGCCGACCGCGAAGGGTCCGTCGACGCTGCGTTTGACTGCGCCAGCTCAGCCGCAGAAGCAAAGGGTTGCCAGGCAGGCCAAGCAGGAGGAAGTTGAGACGAAGAAGCAGCGCCAGAATAAAGCGAAGAAGGAGGAGCAGAGACTGGAGCGCGAAGCCGAGGAGAAGTCGCGCACGGCGCTCGAGGAGAAGCAGCGCCGTGCCGCACGAGAAGCGCGCGGTGAGCCGGCCAAGAATGGTATGCCAGCAAAGGCACCGTCGAACAATGCCTGGACCGCGCCTAAGTCACCTCAAGCTGCCACCAATGGCAGTGTCAACGGCCCTCTCCTGGATACGTTCGACGCCGAATCCGAAGCTAGCTCAAGCGGTGGCCCAGAGCCCAGCACCGCGGCTACCAGCACCACTGAAGCCGAGACAGCGGATCGCCTGTCTGAGGAGGAGCAGATGGCCATGGCGGTCAAGCAGAGCGAGGATGAATCTGGCTGGACGACTGCTGCGCCGAAGAAGAAGCAGCCAAAGAAGAAGCTGACGAATGGCGAGACGAATGGGGACGTCACGCGAGTTGAACCGATTGCTGCGACGAAGGCTGCGACGGTACCCAGCAAGGCGGGCCTGGCCACGAAGCCGAACGGGTACTCCGCGCTGAATGACCAGGTCGACGCTAACGACGCTTCGAACTGGGACCCATGAGCGATGTTGCCTTCACCACTACTAACGGCAGATAACCTACGGCAGAAACCGAGATACGCCACATTGCCGCAATCCGGCACACCACTGCTTCGGCGTTTACGGCCATGGAGAGAAAGAGAGATGTATTGCATAGGTACGTGAGTTTGAAACCCATCCAGCATTCCCGTGCGTGCCGCACGGGTCGAAAGGTTCGTGGGGGAAGGGGACATGGGTTACAGGGAACTTCGCGCGGGAGAAGAGACGGCGCAATGTACTGCTGTGCTTTCCTACGTCAATGGTTTCGGGGAGGGACGAGGGCAGCATGGTACAGCGCTTGAATTTCCGGCAGCACCGCCCGCCCGGCCCAGTAGTGAGGCCGAGCTATCTCATGTAGTAAGCGACTTGATGTCAGCTTCGATATTTGAGGCGCTTCAGCCTCCATGTTCTATTTTTCCGTCTTCGCCTCGATTGTTGCATTCCACAGCCTTATGTGAGTATCGACTCCAGATTGTGCTCCTGACCTCACGCCCACGATCTACTGTACATCCTGACTCTCCAATCCTGACCGTCAATCGAGCGATCTCTTTGTTCATTATCCGGAAACTTCCTGGTACGATTGCTCCGCAGTTAGAGCGATCAATAAAGCCACTTGGCCTCGAGACGACGAGCAGGGCAAGCCCACTGCACCCCACACTCCACCACGAATTCGAGCTCTTACACCGCGGCCTGCTCTATCAACACCGGCCGGTCGCACACAGGAGTCAATTGATATACAGCGGACCCATACCGCTCCTCACAGACCAGACGCTGCCGGCAGCCCACCCGCCCCGGCGAACAAAGCAGTCGCCTTTGACCGAGCCCCTCCACCCACCTCAGCCTCCTCCCACGAACACCTGCTCCCGCGTCTGAGCAGCCATGGCGCAAATCCGCGGCACCGCAGGCTACCACCTCGGCGGCAACCAGAACAACTTCAACAGCGGCTCGTGGTCAAGGCGGGATGCGACGAACGATCCCTCCCCGCTGGACGCCATTCGCGCGCAGACGAGCAAGATCGAGGACTGGCTGGACACGGTCAGCGACCCGCTGAAGCCCTACATGCCGGCGGTCGGGCGGTTCCTGATCGTGGTGACGTTCTTGGAGGACGCACTCAGGATTATGACACAGTGGACCGACCAGTTGGTGTATTTGCATGATTATCGGCATAGTACGTATATTCTACACCTACTCTACCTCCCCTGGAAGTCGGTCACGGATAGGGAGAAGAATTGAGGACTGTAGGGGAGAAAGGTCCCACGCTGACATGATTCTGTTCAGTACCACGCGGCATCACGCACCTCTTCCTCGTCCTCAACGTGTGCGCCATGACCTCCTCCTCCCTCCTCATCATCATCCGCAAGTACTCCGAGTACGCCGTCATGGGCCTCATCGCCGTCGTCATCACGCAAGCGCTGGGCTACGGCCTGATCTTCGACCTCAACTTCTTCCTCCGCAACCTCAGCGTCATGGGCGGCCTGCTCATGGTCCTGTCCGACTCCTGGGTGCGCAAGAAGTTCGCGCCCGCGGGCCTCCCGCAGCTGGACGAGAAGGATCGCAAGATGTACTTCCAGCTTGCCGGGAGGGTCCTGCTGATTTTCTTGTTCGCGGGCTTTGTGTTTGCGGGGGAGTGGTCGGCGGGGAGGCTGGTGGTGATCGCGATCGGGTTCGTGGCGTGTGTGATGGTCGTCGTCGGGTTCAAGGCGAAGTGGAGCGCGATTATCCTGGTGATGATCCTGAGCGTGTTCAACATCATCGTGAACAACTTCTGGACTGTAAGTCACGGCCGAGACAATGATGGGGCAATGGGCGTGAGCTAACATGGCGAACAGCTACATCCGCACCACCCGCACAAGGACTTCGCCAAGTACGACTTCTTCCAGATCCTTTCCATTGTGGGCGGGCTGCTGTTACTGGTCAACATGGGGCCGGGACAGTTCAGTGTGGACGAGAAGAAAAAGGTTTATTAGAGCGTCTCCACCTGTGGAGAGTTCGACGCATTGCGCAACGGCGTTTGTGCCAGGTTGGATGGCGGTATCTAGAAGGAGCGCAAAAGCTCACGTAGCCTATATAAGACGGCTGAACAATATTCATACGCGCTCACGCCGTCTCTTATCGCGCCACGTATTGATGTCTGGAATATATCTCCGGCGTCTTTGGTAACACGTGACTGCGCGTGGGTCCCTGCGCGAGAACAGCAACCTCGGGCTTCCATGTCGGTTCTCAATACTGTGAATGACAGCACATCCGCCCCAACTTTCAGCACACTTCGCCACGATGCCGCCAACAACGCGCCGCGCCCAAAGCGGCAGCGGGATGATCAAGAAGGTCACTCGAAAGACACGCCCGCCTGCAGTCCGCAACCCGTCGAGCAGCTGGGACTTCACGGACCTCAACGACGACGATGATGTGCGCGAGTCCGTAGAAGACCACGCTCAAGAACAGCAATCCCAGTCGGATAGCTCGCCCGAGGTGGAAGAAGTCGTCAAGCCTCTGCGCGACATGGCCGACCACGTCAGTCGCGGAGTCGAGACCTTCGCCATCAACTTCGACGAGTTCCTGTCGGATGTGCGCAAGTGCGAGGACGAAGCGAGCAAGTTCGATGCGGCGAGGGCCATCATCGCGAGCTTCAGGTCGGTGGCGGAGGACGCGGTCAGTGAGCTGCAGAGGACACATCAGAAGGAGAGGACCGAGCAGCTGCGGAAGGAGTGGGCCCAGCGCGCTCAGCTCTCCACGACGGGTAACCTACCGAGCATGT